GTATAGATATCTGTCTGAACCTCATCTCAGGAGGGTGTTTAGATGATGAAGGGTACCACTCAGTTATCGGTAAGGGACATTGGAAGCTGACAAAGGGATCTATTGTCATAGCAAAGGACAAGAAGTGTTGTTCACTATATAGAACACAGGTGCAAGTCTCCAATGGCGGAGTTAATGCTGCCCTGGAAGAATCCTCACAAGATCTATGGTACATGCGTCTTGGCTATATGAGTGAGAAAGAAATGCAAATCCTTGCAAAGAAGCAGATTCTTCCTAATGTCAAGAATACATCTCTAACCCCATGTGACCACTGTTTGCTAGGAAAACAACATAGAGTCTCTTTTTCCAGTAAGAGCTCTAAAGATACGAAAATCCTGGATCTGGTGTCAAGTTGCTTGGTGCTGATCATACTTCGTCACCTTTATCGATGATGCTTCAAGAAAGGTGTAGGTGTACTTGATGAAATCGAATGATCAGGTGTTTGAGATCTTTTAGAATTTCCATGCTAAGGTGGAAAGGGAGACAGGCAAGTTGCTGAAGTGTCTCAGATCAGACAATGAGGGAGAGTACGCCTCAAATGCTTTCAAAAGCTGTGTGTCAAGTATGGCATAAGGCACGAAAGACAGTGCCATATACCCCCCAACATAATGGTGTAGCAGAAAGAATGAATTGAACCATTATGGAAAGAATTAAGAGCATGCTATCCGCTGCCAATTTACCAAAGCCGTATTGGGTTGAAGCAGTCCTCACAACATGCTACCTAATAAATCGATCCCCATCATTTCCTCTGGATGGTGATATCCCAGAGAGAGTTTGTACCGGAAAAGATCTCTTATTCACACTTAAGGGTGTTCTGATGCAAGGCATTGGTGCACGTGCCCAAGGAACACAAATCCAAGTTGGATGAGAAAGCACTCCTATGCATCTTCTTAGGATACTTCGATGAAGAGTTCGGCTATAGGCTATGGGATCTTGAGAACAAGAAGGTGATCAGGAGTAGGGATGTGGTCTTTTAGGAAGACCTTACTATTGAAGACGTGAAGAAGTCAGAAAGCCACTGATCTCCAATGGTTCAGAACCGGTCATAGTTCCTCCTACCGTGGTACATGAAGACCGGGGAGAAATGCAACAAGAGGATGGGTCCCAAGAGTTAGACATGCCAGTTCTGGGTGATGTGGAACAGGGGGAGCAACCTGTTCAAGAAGTTCCACCTACAGTTGAACTGATAAGGTCCTCTAGGGGACATAAAGCCTCTACGAGATACCCTGCATGAGAGTATTCTTGTACACTGAAGGGGGTGAACAAGAAAGCTACCAAGAAGCTCAAGCTGACGAACAAAATGAGGAGTGGGTTAAATCTATGCAAGAAGGGATGGAGTCCTTGCATGAGAACCACACCTATGACTTGGTAAAGTTGCCTAAAGGCAAGAAGGCATTGAAAAACAAGTGGGTCTTCAGAATAAAGACCGAAGAGAAAAGCTCACAGCCAAGATACAAGGCCAGATTGGTTGTGAAAGGTTTTGGGCAGAAAAAGGGTATCAACTTTGATGAAATCCCGTGGTGAAAATGTCATCAATCCGTATAGTGTTAGGCTTGGTTGCAAGCTTGAATCTAGAGATAGAGCAGCTAGATGTCAAGACTGCCTTTGTCCCATGTTGATTTGGAGGAAGAGATCTATATGGAGCAGCCAGAAGGATTTAAGGTAAAAGGAAAGGAACACATGGTTTGCAAGCTGGAAAAGAGTATATATGGGCTGAAACAAGCCCCAAGGCAATGGTACAAGAAGTTCGACACTTTCATGGGTACAAGAGGACAACTTCAGACCATTGTGATTTGTCAAGAAGTTCTTCGACGATAACTTCATAATTCTTTTACTATATGTTGATGACATGCTATTTGTCGGACAAGACATTAACAAGATTGACAGGTTGAAAGAAGAATTGAGCAATGCCTTTGCCATGAAGGACTTAGGTCAAGCTCAATAGATCTTGGGCATGAAGATCTCTCATGACAGGAAGGCTGAGAAGCTATGGGTTTTTTTTTTTTTTGAAGTGTTAACAATTATATTACTGAACAAAATGGGATTACAATGCAGAGTTAAAGAGAGTCCCCTGGTAGACGGGACTCTCTACAAAAAAGAATAGGCCCTCCGGCCCTATACAAAATGGGGTTAAAAAGGTCCCCTTATAGATTCCATAGTCACTTTACAGAAAAGAAAAAAAAAATGTTGCGTAGTAGTTGGCTTGCAATATGCAAAAAAGTAGCATGCCAATGCTAGCCTTCCTCATGAGCTTTGGCTCCATCCTTCGCCAGGTGGACCGCGAAGGGGTTTGATGTCCTTGATGTATGTATCCATGAGACGGGCTGAGAAGCTATGGCTGTCACAAGAAAGGTACATTGAAGAAATGCTCGAAGGGAGGAAAACATGTCGGTTCCCCACTTGGAAGTCATTTCAAGTTAAGTGCCAAGCAGACTCCTTCAAATAAGAATGAGAGGAAGAAACGCAGAAAGTTCCCTACGATTCGACTGTAGGAAGTTTAATGTACACTATCGCACACGCAGTTGGTGTAGTGAACAGATTTATCACCAATCCTGGCAAGGAATATTGGGCAGCAATCAAGTGGATATTCAGATATCTCAGTGGAACATCTAAAGTATGTTTGTGCTTTGGGGGAGGTAAACCTGTGTTGCAAGGGTACATAGATATTGACATAGCTGGAGATGTAGGCTCTAGGAAGTCAACCTCGGGATGCCTGTTTACTTTTGCAGGGGGACCTGTTTCATGGCAGTCCAAATTGCAGAAGTGTGTAGCTCTGTTGACCACAGAGGCAGAGAACATCGCAGTCACCAAAGCCTGCAAGGAGATGATATGGATGAAGCGATTCCTCCGGGAACTGGGCTTGAGCAAGAATGATAGGACAAAGCACATTGATGTGTGTTACCATTGGATTCGAGATGTTCTAGAGAAGAAGTCACTATAGCTAGAGAAGATCCATATTGATTAGAATACGTCGGATATGATGACCAAGGCTTTAGCTAGAGATAAACAAGAGCTATGCAGAAGCATGGCAGGCATGGGTGCTTTCTAGCACCCAGTTGATCTGCAAAGCTGAACCTCCCCCCTGGGACTAGAGGGGGAGATGGTTGGGTGTCCTGTCCCATGTTGTGAGGGCACCAATGGAATTTCCTAGTTAAATGGGCAATGTGAGAAAGTGGAAAAAGGGGTGACTTGTTGACCAAGTCACCATCCCACACAAAGGAGATATTCCTCTTCTCTCTTTCCAAAAGAGCAGATAGAGATGGACTACTTTTTAGGAGATTATGGGATAAACTTTCAAATATGGTGGTCATCCCTTGGCCTATATACAAAAGGAAAAACGTGGGAGACTCTTTGTATCGGTGGTTGACTCTTACTTGGTGTATTGAGAAAAATACAAAGAGCCTTCTTTTGTTGAGAAGAAGAAGAAGAGAGAGAAAGTTATCCTTCCCCTAAAGGGAGAAGAAGAGAAAAAGAGAAATCATTTTCTTTTAGAGAGAGAAAGCTTTTAGAAAGAAAAGAAGCCTCTGAGTGAGAAGATCCTCAAAGAAGAAAACCTAGAGAGAGAAAGTCTCTAGAAGAAAGTAGAGAGACCAAGAAAGCTTGTTTCTTGGAAGACCATTGTAACTTGTGAAGTTTATAGTAGATTTGATTTTTCTCCTATGGACGTAGCCTGAAAAGGTTAACCACGTAAATCCGGTGCCAGTAAGATTTATTTCTTTATTTGCTTTATTGATTGTTTTCCCACTCAAACACACACATCGACTTTGGGCATATTTTTGTGTTCCATATATCTTGTTTCCGCAGCACATATCCGCATTCGTGCGAGAGGGCCCCAACACAAGGGGCCTTGAATTCTTGACTATATATTTGATGTGCAGGGACACCACACATATAGTTGCCAGTTGATACTTCACGGTGCTTTCACTAACTTGTTCTAGTGTTCTACTTTAGATATTCTCTGTGTGGATTGAATGATGCCATTCTCAGTTGTCAATTTTATGGGTCACTCAATGTGGGTACCTTTCCACCAAAAAAGTCAAAAGGTACTTGGGAAGGTGATGGGGGGAACTCTAGTTTGATCAGTTTTTAAGAATCTTATGGACAAAACCTCAAGGTTATGAGCAAAAGGATCTCATAAATTCTTATAACGAATTGCCTGGTATATGAGCTTCGCATTTGGTTCTAGAGTGGAGGGCAACAGTGTGTAACTCATCTTGCAGCTGTATATTCAATGCTACTTTGTACCTGCTCAAGAAGCTGCCTAAAGCTCAATTTTGATGTGCCTCCATTTGGTACATAGGCCCTTCTGGCATTGGGGCTAGATAAAACATAATTCAGTTGTCACAATTGGGACTCTATGGATCTACATTCTAGCATGCATGGTCGCAGGTACACACGGAGTACCAAGGCCAAAGCCCTTCCACCAAAACTATTGGGTTGTTTCTTAAGTCATTTACGGTTCGCGGTTGTTGTTAGGTAACTCTTTGGTGTTACTAGATGGGTCCATAGGACGCATAAGTTTCCATGAGAAATGCATATAACATGGAGGGGTGCCATTTCCTTGAATGTATGCATGTTTCATCATGTCAGTGAAGGTGCTAATGGCACACCAGAGTCCCCTGAAAAGTTGACAGTTAGAAAAGCCTTCCTCAATGAGGGGGAGGATCCACTTCTTATTTAGTTTTTCTGAACATTATTTTTCTACATGTCTATGTTTGTCTCCATTTGATGTGCACTTCTTTCACTAATTCTAGTTAGCCATGAGATAACGATGTTTCAGAAAGGAATGAATAACATGGCCTATGAACTTTACTTCAGGTACCAGCTTATCATTACGTCAATTGCTTGCTGTTGATCCGTAGTGTTTTTATACTATTTCAATAACTATTTCCATAGTGTTTTTGTGATTGTAAGTTTAATCAAACTAGCCCATTTATTCCAGTTGTTGTCCCTTTATGCAGCTTCCTGTTCTCTGCTGGACTCCTCTATGAGATAAATAAGTTATCTGGAATGGTTCATGGGAAAACTGAGTCTAAAGTCAAGAGGCACTGAATAATCAATGGAAAATTCCGACTTAGTTTATTTCCAAAGTGTTCAAATAGCCGAATCCAAATAATCGGGACAAGGCTCGGGTGATGATGATTTTTAAAGAGTACAAGAGTCAATATACTTATTTCCATATGTAGTAAAATTGTGGGCTTTATGGGAAATTTTGAATTTGTTAATGACATGGGTGTTGAAATGGGTGGAGAGACATTTGACCCTAACTCTGTTTTCTTTTTCCTTTTCTTTTACGAAAATTGTGGGGAGACGTTTTGATAATTCAAGGTTTAGGCCTTTTCCAATTGGATTTCAACATTTCCTGTGTGTCAAAATGATGGGATGACCCTTACTATCGTTATGTTGGATTTAATTGCGTATGAAGTTGTTGAAATACTTGCCATACCATTAACTGAAAGAATATAATGATTACACTGTTATTAAAACAGATATCATTCTTGTTTCTGCTAATTCATTTTTGCAATTTGTTTTATGTTGGCTGGACCACATTTCTACAATATGCGGTCTAGAGGTATAAAGCATCCATCTTAAAGATGGATGAAAATAAGCTGTCCATCTAAAAACAAGTGTAACTAACTGTACAAATACTATCTTAACATAATTATTATTTCTAGTTTTCAATTTTCATTTTCATTTAATATAATTATTATTTGTAACTTTCATTTTTTTTTTTTTTTCATATTCATGATCTCTATGTTAAAGATTATATAATTCTAAAATTTACGATCAAATTATATTTAAAAAATATAGTTATTGCGCCTGCATTTCTACAATATGCAGGCTGGGCGCATAGAAACCAGGTCGCTTTCTGTATTTCTATTTTTTTTTACTCTAACTTCTCTCTCGTGTACCGTAGCCTCTCTCTCCAATGGTACAATTTATTTATTTATTTTCCAGAAAAACTGTGCATGTCCCCTTCCATTATTTAAACACCCCCACTCCACCCCACAAAAAAAATTTGTCAGATTTTAAAAGTTTGATCTTCAAGCTCAAAGGTTTCTTGGACTTCGAACATTCATATTCCGAAGTTTAATTTTTGTTTTCAACAAACCTATACTTTGGATCTTTAATGCCTGAATTAAAGGCAATTTAGTCAAAAATGTATTAAAAAAGATAGAAATTCGGAGTGGATTCTTAAATAACAAAGTTTCTCTTTTTTAATCTTACTTTCTTTCTTAGTTTCTTTCAACAGTGCAAGCTTAGATTTAAAAATAAGACAAGGGTGTGGTTTGCATGAGGTTGCAACATTAAACGATCAAATTGATGTGCTCCTTAAAACTGTTATCGATGCAATTTTGGTGTTCAAATATGGTTCGAATCAAGCAGATCTATAAATATATAAAATTTTTGAAAATAGACGGTCTAGATAATGTGTTATTTTTTTAGGACTTAAAATCTCTTTTTTTCTGTAGATCTATACATCTTGATTTTGAGATTATCAACATCAAAATAACCTATTTCAAAGGATTTTAGAGGTGTACCTTAATTCTATATTTTAAGGTGTTAACCTTATATAAATTTTTCCCTAAAAAAATAAATATTTCCGGCATGAAGGAGAGAAGCAAACATTAGAAGTGCCACGTGTGTGTTTCTATATATAGGAAAAAATTTATATAAAGCCGAGGCTCTAAACAATTAAATTAGAGTCCACCTCAAAATTTTTACTAAAAGAGGTTATTTTGATGCCTAAATATCCTTAAATTGATCATCTCAACATCATGATGAGAAAAAAAAAGGTTTTAATAAAGGATTTCAATTTTTTGAAAATATTGGATCTTGTAACGCATTTTGGACAGTAAATTTTCAAGATTTTATAAATTTGCTCGATCTATACTATTTTTGAAATGTTAAAGTTTATAATTAAAAATGAATATGTATTTTAAGGCTATCACAAAGATTTCCATGATTGAAACCACATTTCATTTACTTTGATTGTTAAAAGCCTCAACTCAATACAAACTACGCACACATTTATATAGGGTGCGGTTTGTATAGAGCCTAGGCTCTAAACAATCAAATTAGAGCCTACCTTCAAAAACAATAAAATTAGAGCCTACCTTCAAAAACAATCAAATTAGAGCCTACCTTCAAATAGTGTCGAGAAATGTGCTTCCAATATTGGAAATCTTTGTGATAGCTTCAAAATATATTTTCATAGTTATTTATAAAATTTAAAGCTTAAAAAATAGTGTTGATCGACATATCTATGAAAACTTGATAATCTTGAAAATTGACAGTTCAAAAATGTGTTACAAAATACATTATTTTCAAAACTTGCAATCCATTTTTTTCTCATCCCTATGCATCTTGATGTTGAGATGATCAATTTGAAGATATTTGGGCATAAAAAACAAGTTCTTGTGAGATTTTTGAGGTAGGCTCAAATTTGATTGTTTAGAGCCTCGGCTCTGTATAAACTTTTCTCATATAAATATATGGAAAAGCATAGATTGAGAGCATTTACCTTTGTTTCAAAGTGGTCACAATTAATGTTGACCATTGGATGTGAAATTGGGTGTCTGAATTTATTCCATTGACCAAGCTTAAACTTCAAAAAAAAAAAATTGAACTTTATGACACCCAAACTATCAAATTTCACATCGGATTGCTGCAAGTAATTGTGACCACCTTGTAACAAAGGTAAATGGTCTCATTATATATATATATATAT